CAATTTGAATTTTAAACAGAATCAATCTTGCAACATCATGATTTTTGCAGGCAAATTTGACATCCAGGAAATGGCACTTGGTCATGCAGTTTTAGGCCCAATCATGTTCTTTGTGTTTGCACTTACTGTCATCATAGTACTCACAAACTTGCTGCTGACCATCATCATCATGTCATTTGCAGAGGTGAGTTTACTTTATCACATTGACAAAGTAATAATGGCGCCCAATAATTATGAATAATTTATTTCTGAAGGTCAAAAAAGACTTGGAGAACAGAGTGAACGAATATGAAATGGTGGACTTCATCTTCAATCGGATTAAAATGTTTGTTGGCATGAAGACCGGAAAAGTGGCCATTGTGAACACCGAGGAAGAAGCAAAACTGGATACTGAAGAGGTTCTGCGCACATTTCTTCAACTGGAAATTTAAAATTTGATGCTAATTTTGTTTCTGTAAAGATGGAGAGACAAACCTCGGAATTCCCCAACAAAGTGGACGAACTCCTGGACCAGGTGAACACCATGTATTTCAGTGGAAAATTGAAGATGAATGACAAGGAGTGGCTCAAGAAAACTCTCAAGGTACATCGATTAAATACCATTAAAACAATTTGTCAATTCACTCAACTTTTAAAAACATTTTTTTCAGAACAAGCGAGGGAATGGAATGTCCGAGAGAGAACTCAAGAAAATGGCAAGGAAATTGACCATCCAGGACTTGGACTTTTAAATTTAGACCCGGAACGATGAAATGGTTCAAATAAAGATTCAAACAACAATTCCCGCCTGCATTTGTGAATCTTAAAATCATCTGAACTCATTTTCAACATTAAAACCGCAATTTAAATACGGGGTCAAAATTGAGTTGTAAAACCAAATCTGCTGAAATACTTTTCGTAATCAAGTGGAGTCTCTCTCTGCAAAAAGACATTGTCTACACAACGATTTTCTCAATACAACGATTTTAATTTCGGATGACCCATGGGGTTCAATTCCAGGGTTTTAGGGGTTCTCTGCAAGAAAATTATATCCACGACGGATGTTTTTGGTCCCTTGACTTCCGTTGTACAGTATACGTTAATTTGTTTTTAGATGAAGCAATTGATTTGAAAATATGTCAATTTTCAAGCCACAGCATTCTCAGAAACCCATGCTTGAGTCTTCCGAGTGCTTCAGCCACGGAGTCCAACTTTCTCAACGCGATTGACCTGGCATTATCAAAAGAAAAACACATATGAAATACATTCAAATTCAAATACTTTGGAAAATAGATATATACAGTATAACCTTTGTCGCAAATCCCCAGGCATGAGCCACAAATGAAGTCCAAAAACGAAGCAAGTAAATAAGAAAACGAGTGCGAAAACTGACGCCATTTCCTTCACAGACGCCAAATGTTCTGCTCTGCGTTTTTCCCAAATTGCCACTTCTTCTTCACTGTCCTCGCACACCAACGAAGTTGTAGACTTATCTTCCTTCACTCTACTCAAAACTTTAAAAAAAACAAACGAAAGACTTTAAAAATTGAATTATGAGTCAGACAAAAAAAGGGAGAATATACAACGAAATAATGATTGACCTTCTTCCGTTTGGATTTCCATTTTCTTGATGTCGTTTTCCAGACTAGAAATGTCCCAGCTTTCTGGGATCAAGATCTGGTCCTCATAGCGCAATTTCTTCGCCTTCAAAAACATATTTTAAAAAATCACTGCAGTATTTAAAAAAAAATTCAGTAAATTTGTCATTCCGACAATTTTTGAAGTTATCAAGAAATCGTACGTCGATTATTTGCCAA